GGGGGGGGGATACTTTTTATATCAGTTTAATTATTTGTTTTCATGAACGATCCGCGTTGTCATGTTTGAGGCTTCGGATGTTGTGTCTTCCGTGTCTGTGGCGTTGGAGGATCTACCAATGGGGTGTCTATGTTGAGCCTCTTCGTTCTGTCACCTGACAGACGTGTTCTATGGCGTGTTAGTTATATGACGTGTTCTATGGCGCGTTAGTTATATGACGTGTTCTATGGCGTGTTCGCTTTCTTTGATCATCTGATACATTTTATGCCGCAATTTGTTTTTTTTTTCTAATCTTGTTCTCATTGAATTTTTGCAGCACTTCCCCCAAAACCAGCCAAACCCGCGAGTCCTCTGTGTACCAGCAGCAATAAAGATGGCTCCGGCACCGCGCTCCAGGACGCAGAGTGGTACTGGGGGGACATCTCCAGGTAACCATCCCAATATTCACCCCGTGTGTAAAGAAGTGTGTGAATTGTGTAGCAGAAGCTGAATTCCACTTCCTGTCTGCAGGGAGGAGGTGAATGACAAACTACGCGACATGCCGGACGGGACGTTCCTGGTCCGTGACGCCTCCACCAAGATGCAGGGAGATTATACGCTGACACTCAGGTGAGAGACGGACCTTTGTGCAGGACTTGCCTGAGGCAGGGACGTCCCGATGCCACTTTTTCAGGACCAAGTACTTCCCCCCTCATGTACTTGCCGATACCAATTACCGATACGTTTTCTTAAAGGGACAGGTGGCTTTAAATGATCCGTAGTACAACATCATGTTATGTACTATGGGTGATGATTTAACCCCTTCATGTTAGCAGCGGAGAATTGTAAATATATTGCTGCAGTGTAATGGAGGTGTGTGCTGTATATATATGAAATATGTGTGTGTGTGTGTGTGTGTGTATATATATATATATATGAGGTGTGTGCTGTATATATATATGAAATATGTGTGTGTGTGTGTGTGTGTGTGTGTGTGTGTAATATATATATACACACACACCTCATATATATACAGCACACACTAATATATATATATATATATATATAATTAGTGTGTGCTGTATATATGTACTACATATACATTACACACGTCCAGTACACTATAGCAATAGATTTACCGCCAGCCCCGTCCCAGCTTCCCTTACTCACAGTTTCACTCCGATCCCCGTAGCCTCATGCGGTGCCTCTTGTAGTCGGATCGCTGCATCGCGTCTCGGTGCTCAGCTTGTGGAAGGAGCTCACAATTCTGCCCTGCTAACATGAATAGGTTAAATCATGATCCATAATACATATACAGCACATACGTCCCGTACACTGCAGTAATAGAGTTACAACGATCCCCTGCTAACATGAATGGGGTTCAATGATCCGTAGTACATAACATGTAGTTGTACTATGGATCATGATTCAACCCATTCGTGTTAGCAGGGGATAATTGTAACTCTATTACTGCAGTGTATTATATATGTAGCACATGTACAGGACATATAGAATGCACTGCAGCAGATCACACAAAAAACTAAGCCCGGGCCCCGTCTTACTCACTGTTGCCTTGATCGCGGTGCCTCACGTTTTTCCTCACACGTGAGGAGCGTCGCGTCACTGTTGCTCCGGTGGGCGGCGCTTCAGGTGGCGTCCTAATTTAGGTGGCCGGCGACAGCCTGGAGCGCCGGCCACCGGAGCAGCAGTGACGTTAAACAAAACAAAAAAACATGGCGCAAGCTTCGGCGCTTTGTATCGGGGCAATCTGTCGAGTACAATTACTTGTCAAAATGCCCGGTATCGGTCCCGGTAACGATGCTAGTACCGGTATCGGGACATCCCTAGTCTGAGCGTCATCGATATTAATCGCATCCGCCGTCATGTTATGTAAACGCATTGCAAAGGTCACTCTGCTGCATGTCACCCGGGAGCCTGTAAAGTGTATGTGCCTCATGCGGTGACCCTCGTCTGCGTTGCGTTCTGCGTTCCTCTCACCGTTCTCTTCCGTTATTCTAGAAAGGGCGGGAACAACAAACTGATAAAGATTTATCACCGCGATGGGAAGTACGGATTCTCCGATCCTCTCACCTTCAAGTCTGTCGTGGAACTCATCAACCATTACAGACACGAGTCTCTGGCCCAGTATAACCCCAAGCTGGACGTCAAGCTCTTGTACCCGGTGTCCCGGTACCAGCAGGTGAGCACTGCGCTCCGCATGGAGGAGGTTGGTTGGGATATTGCCGGCCCATTTTGTACTAACACGGCCATCTTTCGTTGCTCTGAACAGGACCAGCTGGTGAAGGAGGACAACATTGACGCCGTGGGGAAGAAGCTCCAGGAATATCACTGGCAGTTTCAGGACAAGAGCCGAGAGTATGACGGGCTGTACGAGGAGTACACCAAGACCTCACAGGTCAGCCCAGGTCACCCCCATAGAGGTCTTCATAGAAGGGACATGACCATGTATACGGGCGCTCGTTCACTAAGGCGCTCCGGGTCTTGGTTACAATTGCCAAATAGGCTGTTAGGAAGGAGGGCGCAAAAGGAGGCTTGTGTGGTCATGTGACCATGGAATACAAATTCGATACCCAACAAATATTTTTTGTAAAAATATAATTGGATTCGGAGTTAAATCTCATTTCTTAGAGGCAGCCATCACTGGACCTCCACAGAGCTTCGTACAGCGAGGCCCCTGACATCAGAGGGCTGCATAGAATATTCCGCGTATGTAATGATGCAGAAAACGGTCAGGCTGCCAAGATAAAGGCGCCCATGCACGGTTTCAATGTCGGCTGGTTTTTGAGGAACCGACGAAAACTCGCACTCTCTGTACCGCTGTCGGCACCCTTTTCGATCGAAGGAGCCGGTGGGAAAATCTTCGCTCGATCAGAGCCGGCAGCCAATGAGATGCTCGCTCTGGTCGGGTGTCCCGGAAGCCGCTGTATGTATGCAGCGGGATTCCTCCATTGACGCGCTGTTAGTGTTGCTGGAGGATTCGGGTCCAGCCCGCGGCTTGAGCAAAAAGAAAATAGGTCTGCGTATGGCCGGCCTAATACTAAAGGGTCTGCAGGGTGAGCAGCAGGGATTTCGGACCTTTTCCTATTGGTTGGTTTGTTTCCCCCGCAGTGTACAGGATAAAGGACGGATGTATATTGGTTGCATCACCTGCAATTCCACAAGATGCCCCTTGTAATGTGCGATCCCCTCCCCCTCTCCTTTGTATAGCCCTGTACTCCCCTCACTTGTGTGTGTGTATATAGTGTATGTAGTGTGTGTGTGTGTGTGTGTGTGTATATAGTATATACTGTATGTAGTGTGTGTGTGTATATAGTGTGTGTGTGTATATAGTGTGTGTGTGTATATAGTGTGTAGTGTATGGTGTGTGTGTATATAGTGTGTGTGTGTATATATAGTGTGTGTGTGTATATAGTGTGTGTATATAGTGTGTGTGTATATAGTGTGTGTGTGTGTATATAGTGTGTAGTGTATGGTGTGTGTGTGTATATGGTGTGTGTGTGTGTGTATATATAGTGTGTTGTGTGTGTGTGTATATAGTGTGTGTGTGTGTGTATATACTGTGTGTATATACTGTGTGTGTGTGTGTGTATATAGTGTGTGTATATAGTGTGTAGTGTGTGTGTGTATATAGTGTGTGTGTGTGTGTGTATATAGTTTGTGTGTGTATATAGTGTGTATATAGTGTGTGTGTATATAGTGTGTGTGTGTAGTGTGTGTGTGTGTATATAGTGTGTGTGTGTGTGTATATAGTGTGTGTGTGTATATAGTGTGTGTGTGTGTGTGTATATAGTGTACACCGAGCGCTGAGTGTCTCGTCCTTTCTCCAGAATCATCATCAATTATGAGAAGCTAAAATCGCGTCTGGGGGAGATTCATGACAGCAAACTGCGACTGGAGCAAGACCTGAAGAAGCAGGCCCAGGAGAACCGAGAGATAGACAAGAAGATGAACAGCATCAAACCGGATCTGATCCAGCTGAGGAAGATACGGGACCAGTACCTGGTGTGAGTTACCAGCATAGCCGGGCCACTACTACTCCCATTATATAGAGACCAGTACCTGGTGTGAGTTACCAGCATAGCCGGGCCACTACTACTCCCATTATATAGAGACCAGTACCTGGTGTGAGTTACCGGCATAGCCGGGCCACTACTACTCCCATTATATAGAGACCGGTACCTGGTGTGAGTTACCAGCATAGCCGGGCCACTACTACTCCCATTATATAGAGACCAGTACCTGGTGTGAGTTACCAGCATAGCCGGGCCACTACTACTCCCATTATATAGAGACCAGTACCTGGTGTGAGTTACCGGCATAGCCGGGCCACTACTACTCCCATTATATAGAGACCAGTACCTGGTGTGAGTTACCAGCATAGCCGGGCCACTACTACTCCCATTATATAGAGACCGGTACCTGGTGTGAGTTACCGGCATAGCCGGGCCACTACTACTCCCATTATATAGAGACCAGTACCTGGTGTGAGTTACCGGCATAGCCGGGCCACTACTACTCCCATTATATATAGCCCTGTGTGTTCTGCCTAGTATCGTGCAATTTGTCCAGTATTGGGTCCTTTTTAGTAGTATATGTGCTCCCGTAGCATGGAGTTTGTCTGGCACTGGGTCCCCTGGTGGTGTATGGACTCTAGCAGCATGGAGTATGTCCCTCGTTAGAACCTCCGGTGACCGGTATGATCAATAATAAGTCTCCGTTGTCCTGGCAGGTGGCTGACTCACAAAGGCGTGCGGCAGAAGAGGATCAACGAGTGGCTGGGACTGAAGACTGAGAGTCCAGATGAGTGAGTCTCCTCCATGTGTCCGCTCGGCTTGGGTTCTGCAGCTGCCGCCATCTGATAGTAACCGATCTTCTTCCTCTCTTCCCGCTGATAACAGTCCCTACTTCATGAGCGATGAGGAGGAGCTGCTGCCGCACTACGACGAGAAGACTTGGTTTGTGGGAGATCTCAACCGGATGGAAGCTGAAGAGTTACTCCGGGGGAAGCGCGACGGAGCGTTCCTAATCCGGGAGAGCAGCAAGAAAGGAAGCTATGCAGAAAATGAGAGTTGTTGGCCCCTCAGACGGGTCCAATGGCTGACAAGTCATGTGATCATCATGTGTTCAGCCTTTGCTTTCAGTGACTCATCCTGAGAATTAAGTAGCAGAGAAAGCCAGACGACCGGCATTTTCCAGCATGCAGATTTCTCCTTTAAGTAGGGATTCATATTGACGCTGATAGAGTTCTGACCGTTCCCATGACCAGCCCGCCTTGTATGACACGTGTTGTATGATGCTCACCGCGTTGTTCTTGTTGTTCGCAGGGCGGATGGAGACGTGAAGCATTGCGTCATCTACGGCACGTCGCGGGGCTACGGCTTCGCAGAGCCATACAATCTGTACAGCACACTGAAGGAGTTGGTTCTCCATTACCAGCATGCGTCCCTCGTCCAACACAACGATTCTCTGAATGTCAGGCTGGCCTTCCCCGTCCACGCACACACGTCCTCCATGTGCAGATAAGCCCCCTGTGCTGGAGGACCCCCCCCCCCCCCCCCCGGGGGGGCATTTTCTGTTGTTTTTTTTCTA